GGTTAGCCTGGTGATGGGTATTGAGGAGGGCACGTTCTGCATGGAGCACTGGGTGTTATATGCAAACAATGAATCATGGAACACTACATCAAAAACTAATAATGTAATGTATGGTGATTAACATAATTAAAAAAAATCCTAAAAAAAAAAAAAGGGACTAGGGGGCTATGTGGAAATGGAAAATTACAGAAAGGAGTAAGTGGAAAATTACTGAAAATGGTTTGGCTAAGTGAGTTAGACAATGTATGTTTTGTTGCTTGGCAGGATCACATTTTCTTGAGCAAGGACTCAACACAGGAGGTGGGGCCATCTTTAAGGACACAAGCCATGACCTAAGTACAGATGGAAGAGAAGTTAAAGTTTGGTCAAGAGCCTTAGCACAGTGTTTAGACAAGTCCTTTGAGTTTATAGTTCACAACCCTCTTGATATACAAAATATTCTTTCCTATAAATTTCCTTTGTTACAGGAATTCTGAATGGTTCTAACTGGCTTCTTACCTAAAACTATGCAACCAGTAAAATCTTTCATTGAAAGGACAAAAGATATTTTCCACACAAAGCCCTGGATATGTCTGAATTCCTGTTCTCACTTTATTGAACAACCTTTATAACTGGATAGTAAGACACGAAATAAAAGAACAGAAATGATAGGTGGGGCCCAGCAAGATTTAGTCCAATTCCTCTGGATTATAATGTTAGAAGATTCCCCTCCTCCTACAATAATCTCCCATTTTTTGGCCTTACCCTGTCAAGTCAGGTATTTCCAACTCCTTTAATACACGGGATACTGAGGATATCAAAACAAACTTACATAACCTTTTTATTGATTCTTTTCTCACATCACATAGAAAAGCAAATTGCAGATGACATAAAGAGCCAAATATTTTGTGCAACAATTTTTAAAGTACATGCATAAGAAAGTATTTGAAATAGCAAAAAGGTCTCCAGTGCTTGCCTTTAAATATTGGTAATAGAGCCTTTAGACTCAGAACACAACTTACAAAGTAAACCACAAAAAGAAAAAGCAAACCAAGTTAAGAGCAGCTCTTCTGCGTGACAGGAGATATATTTAAACAGTTGGATGGAAATGAGGCATTCTTAGCACTTTTGATTATATGGAGGAGATTTTTATAGCATTCCTCTATACAACAAAATTACTTTTAGCAATAATCACTGATGAAACTAATTATAATAATAATATCCAGAAAGGAAACAATGAATATTTTCTTTTATTAAACTTAGAATATATAATCATCTCACTAAAAAGTAAAAAATAGTAAAGTACAAAGAAGAAAAAAGTAATGCATTAATGTTCTTTAATTACATTAATTTCTTTTTGAAAAAATAGTGAGGTGGGGGGGGCAGAGAAGGAGCGAAACCTTACACATACACATTAGCCTGAGGCATAATGAAGCTCTGCGTGTACTACCCAAGCTGAATTCCAATCTGCTTCTCTTAATGCAGTAACTTCTGCAAATGATGACTTTGTCAAAATTGATCTTTGCAATCCTTAGACCATACAGCCAGATACATAAACCTATGTCCAATCATAGATGATCAGGAATTCTCATTCCTTTTAATTTTGAAAAGTTTCCCATAAAGCGATGTAATACTTATAGTTAGGAAAAGATGTAAACATAAGACACATTCAGCAGAGTCACAAAAATCCCATTATAAATTCCAAAAATTGCAATACTATCCAAGTGTTTCTTCAAGATTGATTCTAGCGGCTCTGAAATGTCTAAGAAGTCCAAAAAATTTAAACACAAAACTCCCAAGTGGTTACACAAAATGACAGAACTGATGTAACTTTTTTCATCTTTATAATCTCTGTGCTAGTATTGTTTATTTCAAATATATTGCTTACAACCAGAATTACATAAGCACCATAGAAGTCGAAGACAAAAATCAAATGATTGATAATAATGTAGGAAGCTGGGTCCATCTATGTCAGGAACTATGTAACCAAGAGTTTTAATTTCCATATTCCATATAGAATGCAATGTTTATTAAAGGATAAGTAATACGAATATACTACTAGTTTTCTTATACTGTTTAGTGTATCTTTAGGATTTTGAAATACATTCTTTACATGTTCTTAAAATCCAACAAGAGTCACAAAAATTACTGAATAATAAAGAAAGATGAGGCCTTTAAAGGGATGGGTCCCCCTGACACTATGCAGTCGCCCCAATGTCCTCTACTGATGAAGCTTGACATTTAGCCAGTTAGCAAAGAAGAAATGTTGACAGTGTTCAGATTCAATATCACAAAGCTGAATCTGAAGCTGAGACACAATACACTGAAAACTGGCACAGCAGATGGTATTCCACATTTCTCATTTGTTCGAATCCCTAAGATTTTGTACCTTTGGGCACTGCATCATGGTAAAACTCAGATGAATAATTTTAAAACGAAGTTTGTGAAATGAGGGGGTTATAGGGAAGTCCAGCCTCAAAGATGAGGCCGAAGGAGGCCCACGGAGTCTGTAGCCTCATTGATCTCCAAATGTATAATCAGAATAGACACACTAGCAGGCTAGAGTCTTTGTATCAGTATAGCTAGGGCAGTAGTGGTTAGAGGGAGTCATTCTGTTAGGCCCACATGTAACCACTCTGCACTCATCACCAATCTGTTCAGCCGGCCACTGAACCAGCACTAGAGTGATCCGTTATTTGGTGCCTCTCCTACCGTGGATATGTATTTTACCAATTCAAAAGATATGGAAATGTATTTCATTGATTTTATTGGCAAATCCCTAATTCTTTATTTCACTGGCTATCTTTTTGTATGTTTTTGTCTATTCAGGTTTGTTGTTTGCATGTACTGCACTCATTCTCTACTGTGGTGTTTTTCTACTGACTCTTCTTTGGTGACAAGAAGCTACAAAGGGTAAATTTGTTATCTGTAAAAAATCTAAAGAATTCTGGGGATGACAGTGGCTCAGAGTGATTGACAAAGCAAAGCAATAAGATCAATGAAAATGATATAAACTGGTAAAAATTAATCAGATATCCTAACCCAAAGATGACTTTTGGAGCTATGATTAAGTTACAAGTGTCGGAATGGATGACAAAAATTGAGGCAAATTGTGACTCAATCACAAATGCTGCAATGAAGCACAGGATGGGTGGTTAAGGTCAGGAAAACAATTAGAAACAAGAGAGCTTTAGAAGAACAACAGGTAATTAGGAGGGCTCTGATGTAAGGGGCTGGCAAGTAACACCTATATTTTAACCAGTTTACTGGAAATTCCTAGGGCCTTTGTCTAAGGTTCAGTCAGGAAAACAGAAAATTCACTAATTCTCTCTACAACTGGTCTTGTTCATTCTTCTATTCAACCATTCAGTTCTATTTTATTTCAAATAATCAAATAATAAAATATTATATTTCATGTAATAAATGACTTTCTGATTTCTAGAATTTTAGAATGGTGGTTTTATACATCCTTCTCAATCCAGTTCATTCT